CCCGCGCCACCTAATCATTGCTCTCACCGATGGATTCTATTAATATGTTTTGAAAATAACTATCCCCGTTTCCAAGAAAACAAGTCTACACAAAGCATAAATAATAGGAACAATTTATTTAATAGAAACAACAACAATGAGTTAATACAAAACAATGAGGAAATATACACTCAACAATTACCATATCGAAACGGAACAAAGAATTGAGAAAAGAAACCCAATGCGTAAATAGATACCAGCCAATTTGTAAATATAACACAGTGAGTAAATCTAGATCTAACTAAAAGAAAAACAATACATAAATGGACACAAACCAACGGGTAAATTTTTAATAAAAAAACAACCCCCAGCAGGTGAAGAGATAGGTAAAGAGATACGAAATAACCAGTAAATTAAAAAATCAACAATAGATCTGCGTAAAAGGAAACGAAACAAATGTTATAAATAGAAAACCGTGAGTAACTCGAGAACAAAGACCACCGTCTCTGAGACGGTAGCAACGACCAATAAATACGCGCAGGTGGAAGAAGGTGGGAACTAATGCACCACACACCACAAAAGCAGTTCCCGCGCCACCTAATCATTGATCCATTGATCCTTCTACTTCTGATTGATTATATTATTGTTGCTGTTCCTGTTTCGTTTTGTTCCCTTATCGTTTGTTCGTGTTTCGGTTTTTTTGTTAGTTTAGAATTCGGTGGATTGGTTATGGTTATAGCTTTGCGTTTGTTTTGCAGTTTTGTTTTTGGTTAAGTTTTGGTTTTGAGGCTCTGTTTTAAAATTATATATATTTTTTTAAAGTCTCTCTTGACTAGGTTTTGTGTTTTGTTTTCATTTCATTTGCAGATTTTATTTTAGTTCACTTTGTTTCTAGTCTGGAAGTTCCTTTCTCTTTCGTGAGTTCTTCTTCTTCTTTTTGGCTATAATTTGAGCTCCTTTCAGTTTTCTTAAGTTTCGTTTTTTTAAAGACTTCCATTATGATAAAAGTGTGACTGCCTTGCACTTTCTTGGCAATATCTTGTTTTCGTCAGCTATGCGACATTTTGTTTTGTTTGTGAGAAGAAGAAAGAATGAGGACGAGGTTAGAAAAGAAGGGGGAAAAAGAACAAGCGAAGGAACAAACAAAAGACTTGTCTGCTCTCAACTGTCTAGCCAGGGCGCGAGAAAAACAAAAGAAATAAAACCAAACAGGACAAAACAAGAAAAAAACAACCTTCCGCCGTCTCTGTTGGTCTGTAGGCTTACCTGGCAGATAGCAGAATGTCTGGTGCTGGCATGGGGAACATACGAGAAGTGGCTTGACCTCTGTCTTATCTCTCTCTCTCTCTCTCTCTCTCTCTCTCTCTCTCTCTCTCTCTCTCTCTCTCTCTCTCCCTCTCTCTCTCTCTCTAACACTCTCTCTCCTCTCTCCCTCTAACTCTCTCTCTAACTCTCCTCTCTCTCTCTTTCTCTCTCTTTCTCTCTCTCTCCCTCTCTTTATCATTCTCTCTTTCTCATCTACCTGCCTAAGACAACCACCTTTCTCATCTCCAATGAGTGGCCTTCTAAAACAGTCTTGGTTCTCTCTCTCTCTCTCTCTCCCTCTCT